CTACGATTGAACAAATAAATAAATATATCGTAGATAATAAGAGCCAGATTTCTCACTGTTGGAGAAAGAAATTACAAATAAGCAAAGAGGAAATTCCAGAATGAATCCTGTGGCACTGGGTTGGTATTGGAGGTATCAACATTAACCCATTTAAAAATAAATATATAGACTGTTATGGACTATGTAATTCTCATGTTGAAGTCCTGAAGTTAAGTGAATCATAAGGATGGGGCCCTAATCCAAGATGACCGGTGTCCTTATAGGAAAAAAAAGTGAGAGAGATCATGACCAAGTGAGCAATCCTGCAAGCCAAGGAGAGAAGCCTCAGATCCTTAATCCTGTATTTCCAGCCTCCAGAACTGTGAGAAATAAATTTCTGTGTTTAGCGACCCTTTCTATGGTATTCCATTATGGCAGCCCTAGCAGACTAGGACACAGAGTGATACAGAAAGAAATCTAGATATATGTGTATAATTAGGTTACATTTCTTTGCTTTGTCTGCTGAGAGGGACTAGAAGCTGGACCCCCTCCTAGCAAGTAGCACAACTAATCCTCTAATCTTGGTTTCTAAATACATTCTCAATCCAAGGAACCAGGGAATCCTTGGAGAAGCAGATAATTCCAGGGCTGGAGCAGGGAAAACGTAAGATCATCCTGAAGCATTGTGTGGGGCCAGAAAGTAAGGAGGTGCTAAAGGGAAAAATTCGGACTGGGTTGGTATGGCAAAAAGGATGCAGGGATCAACCTGAAAGAGCTCCCAATGGCCCAAGTGGAACAATTTGAAATTTGAGCAACAAAATAAATTATAGTAATAGATGACAATCCAAATAATAAAATAAATATCCATGAGATCATACTCAGGAAGGAAGGAAAGGAGGGAAGGGAGGGAGGGAGAGAGAGAAAGAGAAGGAACAACTCTTTTTTGAAAAAGAATTCCAATAAATAACCATAGAAGGAATGAGTGAAATCACCATTAGAACACCACAGTAATTATTGCCTAAGGTGAAATCCACCAATGGATGCTAAAATTAGTGAGCAAAAGGGTAAGGAAAAACAGGATATTTGCATGGTCTCAAAGTATGCCCCCCTGCAAAAAAATACTTGTTAATGACAAAGGATCTCCACCCCCCACCACCCCCCGCCAATTCTTGTTAATTGTGAAGGGAAAATAAAGTAACTTTGTAGTGGAGTACCCTGGCCAACACCAGTTTGATCAAGTGCTCAAGGTCAGCATCACTAGTAAGAAGACATCAGTGTCATGGACCCTCCAGGGTGATGTGCTGTAAAAGGCATATCACCTCAATCATATTCTTCCCCAAAATATATAACTCTATCTAATCACGGTAAGACTTCGGACAAACCCAAATTGAGAGGCATTCTACATCACACCTCACCAATGCTCTTCAAAAGCATCGAAGTCATGCAACAGAAGTTAAGAGCAAGGAACTACTTCCAATGGAAAGAGGCTAAGGACACTGAACAATAAAATACAGCTTAGGGTCCTGGACTGGACCCTGGAACAGAATAAGGATACTTACTGCAGGGAAAACAATGAAATCTGAATAGTCTGAAGTTTAGTTAATAGTATTGCATTAATGCTAGGTTTTGGCAATTGTACCATGGTTGTGTACTATGGTAACATTAAGAAAAGTTGGGTGAGTATGCACAAACTCTCTCTCTCTCCTATCTTTGCAACCCTTAATCCTGGGATGAAAAGAAGGGAAAGAGAAAGCAACACTAGGTGTTTTAAACATGGAAGAAGAGAGAAGGGAGTTATGAAATCAGTGGATTTGCATTCATGTTAAGCCCTTAAAGGAGATGGAATGTTCATGAGTCATGTTGATGGAAACTCAACAAAGAAATAGAAGATTAGAAGGCAAAAGACCTAAGTTCTAGTCAGGCCCTGTGGTTCACCCTGCAAAGTATGGCAAAATACTTACATAATTATAGATTATATCTATAACACTTTACTTAGATAATACATTAAGAGATGATTCTAAGAGATTCAGGTTTCTCACATATGATTCAGTTTCACCATGAAAAAGGTGGTGATAACAATAATCATGTTGCTTAATGAAATAGCATATTTAAATGTTGCCATGAAAAAAGAAGTAATTTCTGTTTCAGATTCTGTTTCTTCATCTGGAAATTGAGGATGAATTTCTCTAGGGTCTGTCCAATCACATAGGACTGTAAGTGCTACATAAAATATATTATATAGACGTTATAATAGTAGAACAAGATCAGGTTTTCTACATACATTCATCTCTTTCTTTGACAGCAGCAATATGTGGGACTTTTTATTAACACAAGTGATCTTTTCAATAGCACATATATGAAAACTAGAATAAAATTTACCCTAAAGATAGATGTAAGAAGTAGGGAGAGGCACTTCTCTTTATAAAAGCTTTATTTGTTTACGAAATCTTTAAAAGGTAAAATTATGAAATACTTAGGAACGTTTCCCTGGTGCATCAAAATGCAACCTAATTTTAATATAGCCAATTTAATGGTAGATTGTCAGAAGCATATCGCTTTCATCAAAGCATGTCAGCCTAGTATCCATGCAACACACATATGCACAATGTGTATGTGTGTATGTGTGTATGTGTACGTGTATTCAAACACATAATGATGGGTGGGTTCTTTTCTTATTTTATGTGTCAGAAAGCTGTATGAAAAGTGTATCAGGAAAACAATGACCTCCTTCTCTCTAATTCACACCTTGGCTGATCTCGGTGGGTGCCTTCTTCCTCCCCTGCCCCCCACTCTCCACAGCAGCAGCTGTGGGGCTGAAATGAGGAAACCTGACATCAGCAGCGTGTTCCCTCCATTCCTGTCCCCAGTGGGGCAGACAGGAAATGCCAGCCTCCTCACAGGAAAGCCTGTTGTGGTAAGATTTCCCGATTTACTTTATAAAGGCAAGAAGGCCAGATACAGCAGGAGATAAGCACTCAAGATTGCAAATGCTTATCATCTCTCAGGATTCTGGGCCCCACAGCCATGACCAGTTTCTTTTCTAGAGATGCAAGCCAAAATTCAGTTTGGTTGCAACTTGAAAAGCCTCCCCAACTGAAAAATTTGACCAATCCACCCTTGTCAGCCCTTAGAGAAAACCATTGCAGACAGCTTGCTGAAGTCTGACCATGAGTGATATTCTCACCCCAGGAATCCCTAGGCAAATTAATCTAGGGATTAATCTAGAATCATCTAGGGGTGCAGTAAAAAAAAGCTTGGGGTAGCTGGCTCCCCAAGCTCGTAGCCGAAGTCATGGTACCCATTTGCCTCTTGTCTCAACTGACCCATGAAATGTTCAGCAGGAATCCTCCTCCCTGGCTTTGCTTTTTCACTGCTGATGCTGCTTCTATAAATGGTTTAGCAGAATGCAAAGGATAGGGATTTCAAAAGCATAAGACAGCTAGCTCGTGAAGCGGTTAGCTGAATCAAAAAGGACACACGGAACTAGCTCCATCGGAAGTCAAGCACACTCCGGGAACCTCACAGGCTGACCCACCCTTGGGTCAGAACTTGGAGAAGGGAGTGGTAAGGATTGGAGGGGGCATTACACACTGACCTATTTCTTCAAGATCCACTTCATTCCACCCCTCCCCTTCTTGTCAATTCTTATGAAATAGAACCAAAATCATCACCCGCAGAAGCAGCGAGCAGGCTTCACAGGGTGTGCAACACAATTCCTATTCTGCCCATCTCCACATTACCAATCACTCTGAAGCAATGAGAATTTCACAGTCATAGACTCAGTTCATCCGTGCATCCCTCACAAATCTGACCTTTTAAAAAGAGAAACGAAGATTCGGAATAAACCTATGTTCCCCTTGAACTCAGCCAAAACTCTAGGAGACACCTTACTTCACAAAGTCTGATTTAAAAACATACACCAAGAAAATGAAAACACACCCTCAACTTTTGATCTCTTATCTAGGGAAAGCAGGTTCTTTGAGAGGAACTCACAAGGCAGTCAGTCCGCAGTGTTTATTGTGTTAAGTCGGGGACATTGTTTTGTGTTCAGCTATGACGTGCATTGAAGTAATAGCGAGCCATCGTGCTCTCTCCAGGACCCTACTGTCCCCATCTATCAAAGTTGAGGGTTACCAAAATAATAATAATGACACATCAGACCAGTATTTGATCAGACAAGGATATACACAGCGTCTTTTCCATCTAGAAGTTGGAGGCGCTTGGTCGAAAGCATCTCGATTCTCAAAAGACTATCCTTAGGTATTAGTAATAGGGATATTACTGGTTATCTGTCCCCATTCAAATATCTCCCACACCTCACCCCACTCCTACCACGTCCTTTAAAAAAATATATACCCCAAAGACCTTTGTGTCAGATATAATTGGCATGGGCCCAGCTCGACGTTTGCCTAGGTTTTTTTCTCTTTTCTTTTTTCTTTTTCAAATTGGGGTCATGACGGCAGGCGGGGAACAACGAATATAGCATCGATATTTCAGACAATGCTGCTCTGGTGTCCTTGGTAGCCAGAGTAAGCAGACTTCTACTTCTGTGGCATTTTTCTCAACAGCATCCCAAAGGGTTGTTTTGTTTTCAACTAATACAGTCATCCTCCACCTCAAAGTTGCAGTGGACGCACCATTTGTCCCACTCTACGCAGTTATGTTTTGAATCCTTTAAAATCCCTGATTCATTCTCCCTGACACTGTGATGGCGACTCCCTCTACAAGCGGTTCTGAATTTGATGCTTTTCATTAATTCTGTCCTCTTCCCTCTTCTTGAGAGTTGAGTCAGTCCAGGTTGATAGAGCAAAGATGGTCTTTGCAAAGACCATCTAGTCTTAGACCATCTAGACTATCTAGTCTTTACAAACCTTTGCCTTCTCAGAGATAGCAAAGTGATATAACTCAGGTCCTTCCCAAGACCCATCCTCCCGCCCCCAGCAAACGAATGAGTGGATACATGAATGAATTATTCCATTCAATCAGAAAAAGCATCACCCGACCTGGAACCATACCGTAATTGTTATGAAGGATTGGCATTGGCCCAGCTAATTCTTGTCTTGGTTTTTTTCTTTTCCCTTCTAGACAGGAGCAAGGATGAACAATGTCTCCCAATAACCTAAAAAAATATAATCATAGATGAGACTAGTAATATGCTCTTTAGAATTATAAAAATTTAAGATAGAACAATGTTCAGGGATTATCTAATAAAATTAATCAATTGATATTCATGAAGAGATAAGGAGAGAAAAACTTGCTAAGGGGGTTGAAGGAAAGAATACAATGTATATAAAAATCTTTAGTCTTAAGAGCTCCTCTTTGCCTTAATGCTTGGTCTTATTCACTCTCCAGTAACCTCACCTCTTCATCCACAGCCCTGGGAACTTCTTTTTTTTTCTTAGAGAAGGAGCGCGCATGAGAGCATTTGAGTGGGTGGGGGGTGAGGTGGAGGTAGGGGGTAGGGGCAGAGGGAGAGAGAGAATCCCAAACAGACTCCACACTAAGTGCAGGGCTTGATCCCAGGACCCTGAGATCATGGCCTGAGCTGAAATTGAGAGTGGGACACATCACCAGCTGAGCCACCCAGGCACCCCCATCCTTGGAAATTTTATATATGTTTGATCTGTAGGCAGGAGTGAGGGATGAATCTGTCAGCTTAGGAGAGGCCCTTTCTTTTGCTCCTGTTCAGATCACAGATCTCTTGGTCCAGCCATTCTCCATCCTTGCTCTGAATGCTCCTTATTTTGCACCCCATGCTACCCCATCCTAAGATCCTTTGTTACACTGAGAATACGCATGAATGGGTGTGTGTGTGTGTATGTGTGTGGGGGGGGGGGGCGGGGGTATGTGATGGAAATCAAAGGACCGACTCACTCACACACGTCAGAATCCAAAGTGCCGCAGTCCAACAGCTCTTCTCATGGACGCTGCTCTACTCACTGCCTCCATTTCCTGGACTTATCTCCCTGAGCAGATTTCCCACTTCTTCTCTCTCCTTGTAATTTCCAGGAGCTCAGTCTAGGTTTGCAGCCTTCAAGGACTACAAGAGAACACAAATAATGAGAGATAAGGAGAATGACATCTTGTTGGCTACCCTTTAAAATCTGAAATTGCTTGTTAGAAGAGCAGGAAGCAACTTCCTTCCTTCCCATCATTAAAAGCAAAGGGAATAGAAAATGTAGAGGACATTGAAACTCAGTGTGGTTTAAGTCTTTATTTGCGGTGGAAAGAACCACAAAGACCAGAACACTGCTTTATACACTAGGCTACACAGGGCCAAAAACATGGTGGATGTGCAATAAATAGATATTGATCATCACAGCGGGTTCCAGAAAAGTTGAGTAAAGTTTGTCAACATTGTCAATTCTTTTACTTGCTTGCAGAAACCAAATCATGGCAAAATACTATTCCCTGGTTGTATTAGTTTGCTAGGGCTGCCATAATATATACCAAAGTATTAGTGGCTTAAACAACAGAAATTTGTTTTCTCACTGTTGTAGAGATTAGAAATCCAAAGTCAAGGTCCCAGCAGGTTTGCCCTCTCCTGAGGCCTCTCACCTTGGCTTGCATTGGGTGGCCTTCCCATTGTGCGTATACATGGTCTTCCTTCTCTGCTCCCACATTTCTGTGTACTAATCTCCTGTTCTTATAAGGACACCAGTCCTATGGGATTAGGGCCCACCCATTTTACCTTATTTACATCTTTACAGGCCCTGTCTCTAAATGCATTCACATTCTGAATTACTGGTGTTGAGGGCTTTAATATATGAATTTCAGAGGGACACAATTCAGTTCATAACACTGTTCATTAGAAGCAGAACTAAAACTGGAACCCAAAGTTTCTAACCCTAGAACATTAATTTGCCCTTGATTCACATCTTTTCCCAGGTTAAATAATCTCACAGAATGGTAGTTTACGCTAATTGGAAGGCATCTCATGGTGATCTAGTTGTAGCTCTCTCATTAGCCAAATAAGGGAGCTGAGTCCTCATGGTCTTGCTGAGAATCATAGAACCCAAGGTGGCACCACCCCCCCCAACTAACCCCTCTCCCCTACTGGGGGTGTTTCTTGGATTCCAATCTCCCAAACTCCTAAACTCAACACCAGAGTCACTTGCTAATGACCAGGCTCTGGATTGCAAATTGATGGCCCAAGGAAGGAGCCTGGTACGGGCTGGTGAGGGAGCAATAACCATGGAGCAAGAAAGCCCCCACCCCTTTCCCTTTGGAAGCAGTTAGAGGAATAAGCTGGCTTTAATGAGTCTTCCTGCCCCTTTCCCTTCATTCTCTCCTTTCTTAGGCTCCTCCTTATGGCAGCTGTTACCAATTTCAGCAATTTTCTTCTGGCAAATTGAAGGCTCCAGGTGACAAAGGGAGTTGGCTGTATCCTCCTGGAGGATGAGATAGCCTGGGTCCTAATCCACCCCACCCCTGCTCCCAGACAGGGTGATTAGGGCTGCCGGCACTCCCGGGTGGGCATCCACAAGCCTCCCTACCCTCTCATGTGTGCAAGCAGGTCCAGCTCAGACCCCTAGCTGAAAGGGAGTCCAGATCAGTCCTCACTTCATTCTCAGCTCATCTGTTTTTCCAGGACCACCAAGATTTTATTATTTGCATGATCCTCGGCGCAACTATCCATTCTGGCTCTTAAAATTACAGGAAGAGAAGGAAATAGGAGGCATCCATGCATGCATGTGTACAAACACGTGCGCGTGCACACACACACACACACACACACAAAACGCTGAAGACTTTGGTACAGAACTAGAAGAGGACACTCCATCAGCGGACCACACCCATGGTGCCTGGGGAGAGGGAGGATTTCTTGATCCCTGGTTAAACCATTTATGTAAAAAGGAAGTCCACACGTGAGCACTGACTTCCTCCAACCCTGCAAAGCAGAAAATGAATTAAGGACACTCAGGTGAAATGGGCCTGTCCGTTTTCCCTTAATAACAATGTGATGGTTTTGTTTTGTTTGTTTCATATTCCCTTCTTATTGTTCAGAAAGAAGAGACAGAGTTAAGTAATTGTCCCCCTTCTCTGCCTGTCAATTTCAGTGTGGACTTGGGGATTCCTGCAGCGAAAGAAACAAACTCAACACCTGCCTTCAGGGAGCTGACAATCTAAGGAAGGGAGGCCAGTCTTAGATAGTTAGGTCTACAGATAAGGATGAGAGTTTAAAATCCAAAGCAGGTACTCAAGTGGTCTCCTAGAAGTCCCTTTCAAGAAAAGAAAGGAGAAGGGGCGGCAGGGGGCGGGGGAACGGTGTGAAAAGAAAACAATTTCAAATCACCAGCTGTCCTGAAAAGAACCTCTCTTTAAAGAGCATGACACCGGTGTAGGATGTATTGTCCGACAGAGGAACACCTTCTGTTTTATTTGTGGTTGTTCGGAATAGCGTTCATTCCCTTTGGGAAGGAAGAGGACCCTTCCACCGTATCCCAGGAATAAAAATATTGGGGGAACCTCGCTCATGTACTTCAGTCCCCACCCCTCCCCAAGCCTGTCTTGTTTTCCTAAGCAATGGTCAGGAATGTGCTGGGCGGGGGGCAGCCTGGCCCTCAGCCCTGAGCCCAGGCAGCCCCAGTCACGGTCCCAGGCTGGCCTTTCACCCCAGAGCTCTCCCGGCTGCTCTTATTAAGCAGCAAAATGTTTCAATATGTTGAGCTTTGGGGGAGGGACAGAGAGAAAAATCAGGATATTGTTGAGAAGGAAATAATGAATAACCCTGCCGCCAGTCTTCATACCCCCCACGTGGGGAGATCTGGGTGATAAGTGTGCTTTCTCCAGAAATGGAATCCTAGCAAATGCTTTTGGTCAGAAATTTCCAGAGCCAGTTGAGGGGTGGGGAGTGGGGAGGCGGAGAAGAGGGAGCAGGTACCAAGTTAATTTTCTCAATATCCAGAACCAAAGCAGTCAGGGGTCTGGGTACCCAAGAAAGAACAGACAGGGGAAAGCTTGAGAAACTGAGGTTAATTCTCAGAGGTAACAAAGCTATGGCTTTGTTCTCACAAACTGACACACTCTCTACCCTTACCTGTCACCCCCTGCTTCCCCGTACTTTGCACCCCCCCCCAACACACACACCCAACTTCAGCTACTCTGGTCCTTGCCAAGTGTTCTGGGCAGAAGCCTGGTGCACAGCTCCTGGTTACTGGATACTCAGGAGAAGCAAAGCCATGGAAGGGTGTGGAAACCACCCGCCCAGGAGGGAGCACAGAGGCAACTCATCAGCATTGCAAGGCCCAGCTGTTTTGTGGAGAATGGCCCTGGATTGGGCAACTAAAACAGTGAATGTGGACAGGGACTCAGAAATCTGAGTGAAGAAATGAGTCAGATTCCAAAATTTTATTAAAAAAAACACAAACTGGAGCACCCAGAAACGACTCCTGAGTGAGGGTCTTGTTAAATGTTTTAAAATTGGAACTCCATAATAGGGTTGCTTCTGACATTTGCAAATCTCCTAGCTCTTATAGATGATGCCTGGAAAACGTGGGTCAGAAAAGGACGTATTCTAGGAGAGGTCCAAATAAAGGGAAGAGTCACCTGTAAGTAAGCCGAACTTAAGGGCTTGAAAGAGCCTAGAGGACTTCCATCATATTAAGTCCGAGAAATAATTATTTGCACAGCAACCATTTAAAACTAATCACATAAAAGCAGGTCTGGGTCTCAATGTCTCCTCTTGGCTTTACATTTGTGATATGTATGTGGTTCCCAGTGTTCCTTGACATTTCCTAGCACCACCGTGAGGTTTCTGGAAAAGCAGCGAGGGTCAGATGGGTGGCTGTCTATTAGAACAATTCATCAGACAGCAGCTGAAATATTGATAAGAAAACGGAAATCAAATTAAAAGACGGGAAAAGAGAGAGGAAGAGGGAGTGGGACGAAGAGAGGCGACAGGGAGGAAAGCTGCAGGGCTGCAGGGCACACAGACCAAGGAGTCCTTTCTATACCCCCCCACCCCCCAGCTCAAGCAGGGACTGAGGCTGGCTGGGTGGATACGCTGCAGAGAAAGGCACATTTTGATCCCCGGCAGCCAGCAGGTTTAATTGGGCACCGAGGATCGGGGGACTCTTGGCGCAGAGAACTGGCACTCGGACCTCGAACATCCTGGAGTTGCTGGAGTTCCGCTCCTGCTGGCTGAACAGGAAAGCGTGTCTAAGGTGAGTGTTCGCCTGTGCGGGATCCCTGAGGGAATGCAGGGGGCGGGGAGTGGTGCCTCTCTCGCCCACAGCTGTGTGCTCCAGTTGCAGCTGAGAAATGGGAGGCTTTCTAGGACTTTTTCTTTCTCTCATTCTATCCGGGGAGCTTTCTTTTCTCTCCTCTTTACCCCCCTCCCCTCTCACTTCCCTTGCAAAATTCACTCCAACTTTCAAAGAAAATGGGGGACACTCTCAGCAAGGACCCCGGGAAAGAGGCAGGGAATGGGAATCTAGGAGCCCAAAGGAACATACCTGGTCCCTGAACTCGTGTATGTGTGTTGTGGCTTCAGGAGCCAAAAAGCTGGAATTTGTTAGTGGAGAGAAAAAGTGCTTTATCAGAAACACATTGGCTGCCGGAGAAGCTGCACATTGCCACGTTAAAGATGGCTTAAGAGAAGGAAGGGGAGAGGGGAGAGACAGCCGCTAGACTTGGCAAGGCAGGGAGAGACTCACGCAGAGGCACCTGGCATCCTAGGGTGGTTTTTGCACCCGCCAGTCCAAATTTTCAGACTCAGACACCATCTCCTCTGCCACTAGAAATAAGGCTGCGTCATTCATTGTCTCTGCCGTAAAACTGTTTTCTTTAAGAAGCAGGGGCTCAGGGAAAGGGCCTCCCTAACCCTCCAGAAGCTTCTGCCCAAGTCTTCCTCCCCAAGCCAGTAACAGGGAAGAGGGGGGCAGCTGGACACTGGAGGAGCCGTAGGATCCTAGGGGAACCAGGCAGAAAATCTGTGCCCTGAGGGATGGAGCTTGGCAGCTCCGTAAATATCTGTTCCTTGGGGTCTTGGGCTGCATCCGTGGGGAGACCTACCTCTATCCCCGGCAGCGTTCTCTCTTCTGGCTCCGACGGCCCCGGCCCGGGTGTCGGCAGGTGTGAAGCCACCCAGGCCCGGGGGAAATGGGTGTCTCCGATTGTGGGTAGGGGAGGGTTAAGGGGCTGTGGGAAAGGGACCCAGTGGCGTCAGCTGTCTCTCACCCTTCACCATCTCATAGCCCGAGGTCTGGAGGCAGAGGCGCAGGGCAGATGCCCAGTACCCAACCTTTCAGATCCTCCCTTGCTGGCCCAGGTGGATTCGAGCCTCCCAACTCTCGCGTCCTCTCCCTTTGCGTTCCTCCTTCATCACCTACCCCCACCCCGACTCCCCCCCCCCACCGTCTCACCCGTGTGGTACTGTCGGTGACTGAGGTTTCTCCCACCCAGATTGGTTCTTGGGCCTTCCCGACCCTTCCTCGCCAACCGAGGATGTTTCAGACAGTCCCAGACACATCGTCTTACGTCAAGGTAAGACATGACAGCGTCTTTAAACAGGTAATGCCCCCCCACCCCCACCCCACGCCGCCGCTCTGCCACCCAGGCCTGTGGTCCCTCCATCCCCTTTCCCGGGTCAGCGGGTGGATCTGGAGCCCGGGGAGCTCCCAACCAGATGAGGGTGGCACAGACCCTCGGGAACCCTTGGTTGAGGAGGCACGCTCTCGGGCCGGTACTGTTTGGAAGACTGGAAGTGGGTGAGCCTGGTGAAGGCTGGGCAGGGAACCGAGAGCCAGTGTCCGATCCCAGTGGGTCTTGCGCTCGAGCCACGGGCTCTCAGCAGGTTTCAAGTTAAGGGCCTGCGTGTACTTGGGAGTGTGCATGTGAGCCTGTGGGCGTGTGTGCGCGAGTGTGTGAATGCGACGCACTTCTCCCACCGGTTCGACACCCCGTCGGTCCTCAAGCCCACCTTCCCCGGCCCCACCCGCCCCTCCAAAGCGCAGATTGCTGTATTTGACAACATATAGAACTTTTTTTTTTTCCCACTCACAACAGTTCCCAAGAATGTAAACAAACCGAGGCCGGAACATCTGGGTTACACGTTTAAATGAAAATCCGCCGGCGGGGCGGGGCCGAGGGTGCCCGGGGTAGGGACTCGGCGCGACCTCCCTCCTTCCGGGTAGCAGCCGGGAGCCGGGACTGTCGGAGCCTTCCCTAGTTCCGAGGAGGAGGGGCCCACCGCGCTTCTGCAAACCCATCCGTCAGGTCCCGGCCCCGCCCCCTGCTCCCTGAAACTCCGCCCCCGAGGAGCCCCCCCCACCCCCACCTGCGTGCCCGCGCCGAGCTCCCTCCTGCGTCCGCGAATGCCACCGAAGTGTGGGACCGTCTGCCGGCACGTGGCCACCGCGATGGGGTGCGACTCTCAGGAAGCGCCACTTTTGCGTTCGGCCCTCGTCCCATTTCTCTAAAGGGAAATTTGTTGAGACAGGGTAGCAACCCCCCCATCCCCACCCCCTCCCGAGGTCTAAAAGAGTTTTATAGTCACTTTGGGGAGGCCAGGTCCTGGAGCCTTGGTGCGGGTAAGAGATGTTTAATCTGTAATGAATCAACGAAAAATAAGTGAATCAGTGTATCGACAATCAATCAATAGATGGCTGGACGGAAGGCTCCCAGGAAGTGGCGGAGCGTACACCGGGAGACTAAAGCGCACTGGGGTTCGCGGCGTCCGTTTGTCCGGAGAGGTTAGGCAGGCTGTGACCCCGCCCACCCCGCCACTCCCAGTACCCCGAGCTAAGGGAGCTCTCACTTCCATTCCAGCTCTGCCCCAAAGGCTGCAAGTGGCCCCGGGGTGGGGAGCGGCAGTCTCTCTCCCACCCCCAACCCTCCCCACCCCCACCCCCAACCCTGGTCTGCACACACCCGCGGACCCAAAACCTCGGGATGACGAACCCCAGAGGGGCAAATGGGAGCCCAGGAGACTGACCCAGGCCGAGAGTCAGAGAGAAAGCAAACCGGCCCAGGAGAGCAGAGCGGTCCGGAGTGGGGAGCAGGGAGAGAGAGGCGGCAGTCTAGGAGCCGCGGGCAGCCAAAGGAGCCGCTCGCCGCAGGAGCTCTTTTCAAGGGGGAAAAAAATGGATTTTTCAGCAGCCACAAAGTTTGTATTGTTGCACAAAGGGGTGCATTGATGGCGGCGAAAGGTCTGCGTAGCAGGGACAATCTTGGGTCTGTTCCTCCGGCTCCCTACATCGACCATTTGCCAGAGGGGCACAAACAGTTCCCCGCTGCCAAGCCCCTGCCATTCTGCGTCAGGAACCTCCGAGGTTGTTGACAAACACAGCGCGGGCCCAGGCGCCCAGGCCCGGAGCCTGGAGCCCAGCCGGGCCGCAGCAGCCAAGGGTGCCCACTCCACCCGGCAGCGATCCGGGTTCTGAGAACCCACAGAGTGCTCTGGGAGTTTCCGCAGGGGAGCGCCGAGGGCGGGTCTGAGGCTGGAAAGAGCAAGGGAAAGGGACAGAGGGAACGGGGTGACTCTTTAGGACAATGACATTGCAGTAGGTGAATAATGGTGGTAACATTAAGGTAGCCCTTACCTTTGCCAGGCCCTGTTCTAAACATTGTATTTGTACTAACTTATTTAATATTAATAACAACCCTAGGAGGTAAGCTATTTTGCAGATGAGAAACTGAGGTATTGAGAGGTTGAGGTAACACAGCTTGTAAGGGGTGGGGCCAAAATACAAATGATAAGGGCAAAATTGTGCTGTGAGGCAAGTTCCAGACACTCATTTCAGGCTTACGACAGCCCATCGTGGGTTAGGTCCTACTACAACACCAATGTACAGATTGAGGCACAGAGAGGTTAAGGAACTTGTTCGAGGCCACAGAGCTGGTCCATGCAGAGCGGGAATTCAAACCCTAGGTCCCGACTTGGATGTTCCACTTGCAGATATGGGGAGTCATCCTGCCCCCGCACTGTGCAAATCCCTTGTCAATCCCAGCGCGGGGAGCACAACACGGAAAGCCCCTCGTCCACCCCACGGAGACTGGCTGGGTCCTCCACTTTCCCTCTTTGCGAGTCTTCCAGACTCCTTGCTCCTGCTCCCTCACCTCCTAGCCTGCAGGTTCAGCCCCTGCTGCATTCTGGAGGAGACATCCCCCCCCCCCCCCCCCCCCGCAAACCAGACCAAAGGAGGCTTATAGCCCCAGAATGTTCACAGCGACACGGCTCAGGGGCAGCATCTGGCCGGCAGGTCCTGCAGCGGCGTTTCAAGGACACAGGTCTGTACTTAGAATAAATGCCGTTTGGGGCTGACGGAGATCGGGGAGGCTGAAATGCTCCCGTCCCTGCCCCAGGCCCCCGTCTAGGCGCCACCGCTGGGTGAGAGTCCCGGCACCTGGCTGGTCTCCACCTCTTGTCAGCCTGCGCTCTCTACGCTCTCGGACTCCCTCGGGATTTCCTCGTCGACGCCGCGTGGTCTGGGGACCCGGCCCGAAGCGCCTGGGGCTCGGGGAGCAGAGACCCTCCCCCAGCCGGACCAGCCGACCCCCGGCCCTCCCGCCGCCGCGGCCTCCCACGTAGCGTTTTGAACCCGCTTGGCGCTAAGGCAAGAACGAGCGTGGGGAGCGGGCAGGGCGAGCAGAGGCTCTAAATCTTCCTTCAATCTCTGAGTAGATGAAGTCTGAGAAACAAATTCAAAGCAGGCGCGCCTGCAGAGCCTTCCTGCAGAAATATTCCCCGGCATTCAAGCGCATCCAGGGGCGGCTCGAGCTGCCTTGTTTGGCTAAGGTCAGACGAGACTCGAGTTCTCCAATAAAAATAAATCTCAAATTAATTATGGCCTCGAGCGAGGGGCCAGACACTTGAAGCTGCAGTTGTGCAGTCTGGAGTTTTGGCGCTCGCTCGCCCGTCCCTCCCCCGCGCTCCCGCCTCTCCCCCTACCCCCCATCCCCCCGTTGCCAGCTCGAATACCAGCCGAGGCCGCGCTGGACCCGAGGGGCGGGAGAGGAGGGAGGACGGAGGGGAAAGGATCCGCCCGAGACGCTCGGCCAGGCCTGGCATCTTTCTGGGTTTCAAGTGACGGAGCAGTCCCCGGGGCCGAAGGCACCCCGGGGACCCATCTCCGATTGTCGCGTCCTCCCACCCCCAACCTGGGCTGGGACCAAAGAAGCCCAGGAAGTCGCGTCTGGAAAGTCTTGACCGGGTCAAAAGGGCTGACTTTGAGCGAGCCAAGACACGTTTCACCCTGCCGCACCCCTCCCGGGGGGAAGCAGGACTTCCGCATCTTTGAAAATACTGTCAAGTGCGGACGGTGCGAGGCAAGTCGTCCGACCAAAGTTCCAGCGAAAATGCTTGAAATCCAAATGTTTCCTAAATATTCGCCCTCCGTGTGCATGCTTTCTGTATGTGACCCGAGGCTTAGAAATGTGTCATGAGTTGTTTTGTGGGTCCCCCAATTGGTAGCCTTTGTTTTAAAAGCTGGCCGGGCTTCCTTGGCTGCAAGAGCTCCCCAACTTGAAAGCCAGTTGGGGCTGGTGGAATGGGCGCTGATGGTCGCAGGCACCAGCTCCTGGGCACCAGCCCTGCCCAGTCTGGGAAAGGCAGGCAGGACAGTCTGGTGAGCCAGGAAAGAGGGTGTGTGCAAGTGTGTGGGCTGGGGTAACCATTCCCCAGCTAAGCTAGGAGAAGGGAGAGGGAGAGAGAAAGGGGAGGGAGAGTGGGGAGAAGGAGGGATTGCACCTCCCCAACTCAAAGACAGTTTTCATTTGTAGCAGGCCTTACCACAGGCTCTCTATCAATTTGTCTCAATGCAAACATTCAAAATATTCTCTTTGGCTGCTCGTGAAAACAATGTGAGCTGCCAGGATCAAACCATCTTTCCAGATGTCTGGTGGTAACCACATGAAACAGGGCAGACTTGTTTACTGTTGTGTTTGGTTAGGGCTTTTTCCCCCTTCGGGATTTAAAATAGAAGCAGCAGCAGGAGTTGAGCTTCAAACCCAGAGTTACATAAGTGGGGCAAACTTGCCCACCAGCATGTCAATATGGGGTGAAGGGAGCTTCAAATCCCTCAGAGAGCTGTTGTTCCCAGTTGGGGGAGTTTCTTTCTAGGTGGAGGACCTCGTGAATGACAGGAGCTCCTCACGGAGGGGCTGGTAAATAGCAAAAGGCATGGCGTCAGTGCTAGTCAATGAGTCACAAAGGGGTGACAGTTATGCCAGTGTCACCCTCTCCCCCCATCTTCAAAATTATGAAATTGCCGTAGCTTTGGTTTTCCCAGGAGACACAGAAAGTGCTATTGAGTTCCACAGCTAAAACAGGAGGGCAAGTCCTCATTTTAATGTAGTTTCCCATTGAGCAACTCTCCATGGGAGAGGAAGCTCCTGCTGAAAGGAGTTGGGGGTACTAGAGGTGTGGGGGTGAATGTCCTGATCAGTGCAGCGAAGATAATAATATGCTCTTGGCCCGGCCTCATAGGAGTTGGGAAGAGAAACCTAGCCAATATTTCTGCCATGGAGGTGCCTTCTCCAGCACTAGGAGGAGTGTGGAAGGAAGGGGGAGCATCTGGCTGGTGTGGGGTGGCCATTAACAACCTCAGTGTTTGCCCAGGACCAGGAAGGGGGCCTCCCGGTGGTGGAGTTGAAATCCCTTCTGCCTGAAAGAGGGGCAGTGTGGCTGGGGTGCCGGGTTTCTGGCCAGGTCTGGGTGGGAAGCGGTCTCCCCGCACCCTCCTGAAAGCCCTGTTGTCGTTTGAAGGTCGGCAGAGTCTGGGCTGAAAAGGAAACAATTTGGGGTTTGAAAGGATGTAATTCATTCTTCCTTTCCCTTTAACCTCTTTCCTCTCTGGAAAGCATGTGGAAAAGCTGAAGGGAAGAGGGAGAGGGCAGGCGGCCGGCGGAGGGGAGGAAAGGGTTAAGCCTGATTTCTTTTAATTGAACTCCAGAACTGGTGGCCCCAGGCAAAGGGGGGGGGGGACTGACCCCGCTAGCGGTAACCAGATGTGGCGGTCCCAGGGGAGCCCCGGAGCAGACCCCTGGATTGAGAAGCAGACAGGAGGTGGGGGGGGGGTCGGCCCGTCCCCCATCCCACCCCCACCCCACCCCCACCGCACTCCCCCATAAGCACACCGAGTCTCAATTGCTGGCAGGCTGCACCCGCCACTCCAGGTCTGGTCACGTTCAGACCCGCGTCTGTATTCGAACCCAAAATTGGAGCTGAATTAATGAGACTAATTTCGAGAGGGGGGTGGGAGGAGGGAGGGAGGGAGGCGAGCTAGCTTTCTGGCTCAATTGCTCCAGAAGAAATAAAGAATTGATAAGTCACCTTTTTCGCCGCTGTGGACACCCTTTTGAATTTTTTTTTTTTTTTCTTTCCAATTGACTCGGATCTCCTCTGGATTTTTTTTCCCTCCTTCCCCGGGTGGACTCTTAAATAAAAGTGAAAAAGTCCAAAGCGTGGTCTGGAGAGCGTGGAAAAGGTAACCTGTTTTGGAGGTTGGGGAGAAGGGAGTCAGGCCGAGAGCGCCCGGGGGTGGGGTGGGGGTCCCCTCGCTGCGCCTGGAGTCCTAAGGCTGCCCCAACTGGAGCTTTCGGCGGCACTGCGGGGGAACGGCAGGAGGTCTCCGGATGGCGGGGACCGACAAGGCGGGCCGAGGGCCGGCTGGCCTCCTGGCCGGGTGGGGATGGTGGTCCCGAGCACTGACCCCGGGGGCTCACCCGAGGGGAAGTCTGAGTCTGTGCGGCGATCTTGCGTGCTGCGCTCTGGAGACCTGTGGACCAGCGTGGAGGGAACGTCCTGCGGTAGTGTAGGTTTCTCTGCGCTCGGAGTAGCACTGCATAGGCGGCTCTGGCCGAGCGCCGGGACTTGGGCCATCCGGTCCAGGTAAAGCGCGAGGGGTTTGACCCTAGAAGGCGCGGATAGGTGGCCTAGGGTGCCGCCGGTCCCGGCCCCGGGAGGGCGCCGGGAGCTCTCCAGGAGCAAAGGGCCGAGACGCGCTGTCCGGGGGCGCCCTTCTGCTAACAATGCGCTGGGAGCCTAGTCCGCGCCCCCGACGGTGGGATCCTTCCGAAACCGCCCCGAGTCCGCGTCGACCGGTGAACAGCTCCCAGTCTGCCGCCACTCGGCAGCCCAGGGCCCGAGTGGAAAAATTCCCACTGGATGCATTTTTTTAATGGTTGGTTTGCGTCGGTCTGCGTCCGGATCTTCCTGGGCAGTAGGCTCCAGATTATCCCCAGCCCGAGTAAACTCTCCCCCCCAACCCCCAATAAGTTTGACTCGGGCTGGAAAAAGCATTAATGAACGTATCTGTGGGAAGAAACGGAAAGTGAATGAGTCAGGAGGGCCACCTTCGGCCAAGGGCCCCGGGAAAAGGAAGGAGGCCAGAAAGACATTTGGTTTTGGACTTTTGGGGAAGGTGTTGGGGGTGGGGGTGCAGACTGCGGGAATCAGGGCGCGGGCGCCGGGCGTGGACCCCGGCATTGTTCCCAGCTCGCTCTTATCTCCCAGGAGCAAGTATCCTGTGTGCGCAGCGCATGAATGTATCTGGGCATCTCCGGGTATATTTATATAGCGTGTGTGATGCGAAAAGCAGGACCAGCAGAGGGGAGGAAGAGGGGGTGTGGGGGAAGGGAAGACGAGGGAGAGCAGAGGGGAGAGGAGAGGAGAGCGCGAGACAGACAGAGAGAGAGAGAGAGAGAGAGAGAGAGAGAGAGAGAGAGAGATAGGACTTCCTCCCCGATTCGCAAAGTGAAGTCACTTCCCAAAATTAGCTGAAAAAAAGTTTCATCCGGTTAACTGTCTCTTTTTCGCTCCGCTACAACAACAAACGTGCACAGGGGAGCGAGGGCAGGGCGCTCGTGGGGGGCACGCAGGGAGGGCCCAGGGCGCCAGGGAGGCCGCGCCGGGCTAATCCGAAGGGGCTGCGAGGTCAGGCTGTAACCGGGTCAATGTGTGGAATATTGGGGGGCTCGGCTGCAGACTTGGCCAAATGGACGGGACTATTAAGGTAAGCGATGGGGCAGTGGGCGCGGGAGCGGCGGGGCCGGCCGGGTCGGCGAGGCAGCGGGCAGGCTTGGCGCGGAGCGCCGGGGTCCCGGAAGACGTGGCCAGTCTCCCTTCCTTCCGTGCCCCGGCTTCGCGCCGTCTCCTCCCGCGCTCGGGTGGCGACTCTCATTCGCGGGGGCGACCCTCCGGGCTTACCACAGACAGCGATCTCCCCCGCACCCCTTGTCGCAAAGCCGCGTCCGGCCCCCCACCTACGCGCTGCGGGCCGGGCTGCGGGCGGGGGTCCGCGGGAAACCTAGGGACATCAGGCACGGATCCAAGCCTGGGGCCGGACACCTCCGGATCCACCACTCCCACCCGGCAAGCTGGGCGCCTCGGCCCCGGCGCTGGGCGCTCGCCTGGCGGCCGGCTTCCTCTTACCCGAGGCCGAAGGCGACGGGGGCGGGAGCGGCAGCCGCCACCCGCTTGGGTCCCCCGGCCTGGAGGGCCCTGGGGCGGGCAAATGGATGGGTTGCAGGCGGCTCGGGGTGCAAGTGAGTGTGCTTGGGGGTCGGTCTGAGCTGGCTCCTCGGATGGAGGTCCCTGTTTACATGTCAGCGCGGGCTGGTTTCCCTTCCTCTTGGTGCTTGTGTTGCTGAGCTCTCGGCGCTCCAGAGCGGCCGGCTCCCCGGGACTGACGGGCGGGCCTCTGCGCTCCGCGGCCAGGGGATCTCTCTGCAGCCTCGGTCGGCGCCGCTGCCCCGCGCCCAGCCCCGGCTCTCCGCGCCCAGGCGTGCGCCGGCTCCAGCGCAAGGGCTCCACGGTCCTCCCCAAGAGGGTCCCGCGCCCTGCAGAGCCGCTTCTCCTGCGGTGGCCGGCTCTGAGCCGACGGCCCTGCCAAATCCACCCCTCACCCCACACCTCACGCCTGGCTCTAAGTTGCAAAATGCAGCCCAGAGGGATGGATGAGGGTCTGGGTTTCGTGTTAGACTTCAGGAGTGTTGATTGCCTTCTCCTTCTGGAAGCGGGAAGTGGGGCCCGGAGCCGAGAGGAGGGACACCCCCTAAAGTGACTGACCTTAGAGGACCGAGAGGAATGAATGGGACCTGGAGTCGGCTTCCAGGCTATCCCGCAACACCAAGCCGGAGTCAGTCTGGAAAAACTATTAGGCTGGTGAGGTGGGGAGTGGCAGAACCCGCCATTCCCCAGAACCCAAAGGAATCAACTCCTCGCTCAGGGCTGAGTTAAGAGGAGAGGAAGATGTTGTGCTTGGAGAATTTAGAGATTTTTATCATTTGGGTGGAGTAGTGGTTTTTATTTTCTAAGGTTTTTTTTTCTGAAAGTTTGAAACATGCTGACTGAGGTAAAAGGCACCAACAGAAGGAACTTGAAAATCTGGAGATGAGATAACTGATTGTACTGAGTTAAGGGGAGCCAGTGCGAGTCTGGGTTCATCCAGTTAAAGTGTGTGGGGGGTGAGGAGTGTTCCTATGACGAAGGTGGAGATGGCCACCAGTCATTTATGCCTGTTTCTCCTCACGCTGGTGTGTGCCTGCAAGTGTTTGTGTATCCCTGGTTTGGTAAAAAGGATGCTCCACTCTAGAAAACTCCCCCTCATTAGGACACTTACCACTTACCCAGAGGCAGTCCCTCTGATCCGGAAGGGTGGGAAGATGGCTCCAGGGTCTTGATGTGGACACCCTAAGGAGAAGTGAAGCAATAGCTCCATGATGCTCAGACCTCTAAGGCCCTGAGCAAATGGAGGAAGCTGTGGTCTGTGTACCCAGGATGTGCTAACCTCTTTAGAGACACACACAAGGATTGGCATGGCAGGCAGTGAGAACAGGCTTAGGCGAGGCCCCCCATCCTTCACGCTAAGGATGGAAGTGAAGGTCTTCTTTTTCAGGTGGGTGGTGGGAGCCTCTGAGTCCCCCCAAACCCTCCTCGGGAGCACCTTCGTCTCTCATCCAGGTGATCTGGTTCTGCAGACCCACCCACAGAGCAGTGGCTTCTCAAGTCCTGAGAAGGGACTGCAGTCCCCAAAATGCTGAAGGATTGAGTTGTTAGTGTATACTTCGGTATTTAAGTTGTGTGAAAGCCACACAATTTCCTGTTCCTGTGTGACCTTTGGATCTTGAGGTTCCTAGACCCTATTCCTGCAAGGGTTCAAACACTGTTTGGAAAGGACAGTGGACAAAGGGAGGCCAGTGGATTTCTCGCCTCCATGTGAGAATGCACAGTCCACTGAACCTGTTTGAACTTCAAAATCTTTGTACAAGTGAGACAGTGGGACTAAATTACCTCTACAGCATATCTTTCCAATCTTCTGTTCCTAAAATATCGTGCTTATCTGAACTTCTAAGGACCTATACCTGCATGTCCACGAAATCCAGTTCTATACAGATTGAGGTCTGTAGAAAGAAATCTAGAATGTGTGTTCCCAGCTTGAGTGACCTTGACAAATCATATTTGAGTAATTCTGGAATGTGATTTTTATGCACCTGCATGTTTCTTCCTTGAATATAAGGCATGTCTATATTTCAAAATACGTGGGTCTCCACACTGCGGAGGTATTTGGTCCAGGGTGCCAGGGAAGTCTGGATTGCTTTGCAGAAGCTTTTTATTCTGTGCATAATTTGCACAACTCGTTTTGATTTCAAAATCTTAATCTTGCTGCCCTTGTTATAAGTCCTTCTGTGTCATGTTCTCTCCTCCTTTCCAAGAATGTCTCCTGGGAAGGCTCTGAGCATCACGTTGGGAATACCAAAATTTTCAGGAGCCGTTCCACTCTTCTTTGGCCACAGACAAGTTAACCTGCGATATTAAACAACACCTACCCCACCCCTGCTCCCCACAGTTGATATTATCAGTGTTGAAAATCACGTGATCCTGGTTGCTGCTCAAGAGATGACCTGGTTTCAAAACCTGCATCTTAGTTCTAGGCAGTCTTCCATTGAATCTAGTTACTCCATCTATGAAAGCTTGATTCAATGCACATGGTACCATTAAAGATGGGGAAACAATCAGAGAAGATGCAGACGTGGTGAATGAAATAGGGCCATGCACAGTGGACTCGAAGTCAGAAAGCCTGAGTTCATTCTCAGCTGCTACTCAGTTGCCATGTGCCCTATAGCAAGGCCCTTCAGCCCCTTCAGCTCCTTAAATGTCCGTTTTATCATCTGTAAAATGGGGCCAAAGTACCCCCTTGACAGAAATCACAGTGAGGATTAAATGAAGTCTGGTACCTTAGTGGAATGCACATTCGTTGAATTTCTCCTTGGGGATAGGGGCTTGTGGGGATCAACTGGTCAGAACATTAGATCACAGGTCTGGATGTCCCATAATACATGTTTTATTAATTCAACCAATATTGATTATGTGCCTATTATGTTCCAAGGCTCTGCTTTCTGTGTTGAGAATAAAGCAGGTTATCAAAACCCTGCTAGAACGTATACTCTCGTAGGGGTGGCAGACACCTAAGTAAATAATTCTGTGTCCAGGGCTGATACACCTCCTGAAGAACAAGGAGGCAGGTTATGGGATAAAAGGTGATGTGGTTGTATCAGCCAGGATGCCCAGGGAGGATGCTTCAGGTAAACTCACAATGGAGCAGAGATACTATCGGTCTTCATCCTTTGCCTTGGGAAATAGCAGCACTATACAATCCCCTAAATGATGGGAGAACAAAATCGGGAGGTAGGTGGAGGTCCCCGCTGGGTTCTGTAAGCTGGCAGAGAGTGTGTGTGGCAGACGAGGCCAGGAGGGTAGGTTATGGCAGACTGGACAGTGCTTTCCAGTCAGGAAACTTCCGGATGGTATCTGAGTAGAAACCAGCAGAGTGAGGAACACGGAACAAAGACTCTACATCTGTCCTCAAAAAAGGATGCTGCCTTGACTTTGAAGAGTGAATTGCCTCCCCCCTCCCCGACACCACCTTTTAACCCTCCTATGGCCTGGCATCATGAGAACTCCAGGAAAGACACCACTTTGTCAGTTTCTCTGTCCCCATGACCACATAGAATTGCTTCCCTCAGTTAGTAACCAAATGGTGAATCCTGTTTCCTTGGTGAATAAATCCCACAAAAATCTTCCTTCCACTTCTCCTTCCATTCAAAGTCAAGTTTATAGGTTTGCAACTTGAGAACTTTTGAGATTATTGAGCTCAATATGCTCATTCTGTGGGTAGGGAAACTGAGGCCCAGTTATTTAATGAATGACCTAAGATCACACAGCTAACTACTGACAGAGTCAAGAGGAGAATTCAGGGATCCTAACCCTCGGGCTCGTGTTCTTTCCACCATACCGTGAAGATTTCATTTGTTTTCATTACAATACCATGAATTATAGAATCCTGGAGATTATGTGTGTGTGAGAGAGAGGCAGAGAGAGAGAGAGAAAGACAGAGAGAGATGCCTTTAAAAGAAAAACCATGAGGAATCTGGCACTTTGAACTAAAGACATATCTGTTGTTTAATGAAAAATATATTCCTACCATCCTGAATTATGTCCATACTTAAAAAAAATTCCAAATTCTCAGATAGGATTTTTACATAGCTGTTTTCCAAAATAAATCCTACTTTTCCTATAGACAAACAAGGTCTCTGTTACCAAGAGACAACAAAAAAATACAGGACTTTGCTTAAATAGCCAATAGGTCTCTCTACAGACTGGGGGAAGGTGGGCTGAATTCCTATTTCAGTTCCTCTAATAATTGAATATTTGACGATTTAAGCAAAATACATTCAGTGTATTATAATATAACTTCTAGACCCATCTTTCAGACTGTGTAGTAAGTAGGTCTTAAATAACAACTGCATTAAATAAGATTTCAGATTTCAATGTCAACTTCTGTTTGGAGTTAACCAGTTAACTTGGCATTTGGTTTTAAAAAGTGATTGATTTAAACCAAGTCTATTTTCTAGAATTGTAACATTAGTCTAATGCTAGTATTGAGTTGTCCCAGCAAAAAAAAAAAAAAATTGGGAAAAATTTTATGATGATGAATCACCAGGCAGGATTTCTAATGGACTGTGGCCTTTATCTTACCTCCAACTTCAAAAATATCCTCAAATTGTAAGTCAATACTCAGGCCATCCTATTCATCTCTGAAAGAAGTCTTATTCTATCTGAAGCTTGATAGACAGGTTTTCAGATTAGGGACCAACTGTCTAGGGTGAGAATTTGCAAATCTACTATTTTCATTCATTTTAGACAATTAGCTACATTATGTAGGTCTAGAATAATGTTTTTGTTTTGTTTTGTTTTAAATAACATGACTTTCTTTTTTTTGGCCTGTAGTTAAAACAGTCTTTCTATCTTTGGCTTGTTGTTTTGTGACAAATTGAGAAGGCTAAAGGACACTGGTCACTACGTACACACACACACACACACACACACACACTCACAATCTCACAAAATCATCAACCAGAATAACAGCTTTTCTAGTAACCTCAGATCTGTGCAGGTGTATTTTCCTTGCAGAAGACTATACTCTGCTTCATTTTCTGTTGCTTTAATGATTTATATCTATAGTGCTCATCCCATTCATGAATCAGTTCATCGGTGGGATGGTACTACTAAGTGATGTCACTGATTCTTCTACTGACCTCCTAGACCCAACAGAGGTAGCCTATGTACTCTGAGGTGTTTGCCAGAGGCAATGGGTGGGGTTTTGTTTATCCCCATATTGTCACCCTGAGTGCCAATATCGTGGAAGTCTGACAGGATTAGACAGTCCCTATTCTGTGTGAAGCTGGTTGGCTCTGTGGGGATCTACAACCTTAGCCTCTTTGGCATCATAAACGGATGCCAGCCATATTAACACAAGTCAGCAACCTTGCAAATCAGTAAGGTCTTTTGCATGACTGTAATTCAGGGTCAAGATAAATGCTAGTGGTATAAGAACTGCTGTTCTGGAGACAGAGCAGGAGGATAAGCCGGGTGTATGCACCGCTGAATGCACTAAGTGTTCCGCTAGCCACAAGGAAGGAAAGAGCAATTTCAACTGGAGACACATAGAAAGACCTAACACCAATAGTTATTTATATGGTCCCTTCTATTTACAAAGCACTTTTGCATAAACCCTCATCATTAATCCTCACAACAGCCCCGTGGGAGATAATACTATCTCGTCTCTCCCTCCGTTTTGGATGAGAGAAGTTAAAGTTCAGGGAGGTTAGGTAAGTTATCTAAGATGACAGCTGATCGAAGACAGAGTTGGGTTTTGAGCCCGGGGTTTCTGATTCCAGAATACTTGCTTTTTCTATACACACAGCCCCTTGGCATAGGTGTGACCTGGACCTTGGCTATGAAGGATGGGCAGGACTTGAACAAGAAGATAGGGTTCAGGGGCTTTCTCAGAAATCAGAATACTTTGGTGAGGTGGTGGGTGGAGGGATGCATATGAAGGAAAAAATAGGAGTGGAAAGATTGGATGGAATTGGATTCTGGAGGACCTTCAATACCATGACAAAGAATTGAGGTCTAGATAGGAGGAATCACAAAGGATGACCAACACGGCTGTACAAATCTCTTAGGAATGGCACCCTTCTTGTCCGAACCCAACTCCTTAGGAAATTGAGAAAGGAGTGACTCCATCACTGTCACAGTCCACAAGAAGTGAATAGTCGACAGGATTCGACTGCCAGTGATAGGCTCAAGCAACCAGACTATGCTCTCAGCTGTCTTTAAAGATACCTGTTTATTAAATATGGAGTCAGGGGAAGGAGGAGAAACTCTATTTCACCAGAGCTCATAAAAATGTGATTTTTCCCTTCACTCATTTAAATGTGTCCTCTTTCTCTGTGTTCTAGAGATTACACCACAAGCCATCATTTCAATTGGGCAGTATCCTGGGGTACAACTTTAGTTCCTTTTGAGAATGAGTCAGCAGATAGTAATTGAGAAGAGACAAAAGGAAAGGTTGTTTCCCTGAGACTCAAATCAAATTTCGATAGAAAGTCAAACAGGCCTGACAGACTTTCCTAGTTCAGGTGTGCCCAATCACCTCTTGCTGAAATTTCACCCAAGCACACCAGAAACTCAGTTATCACCACCATTCCAAACAGGATCAGAGATTAAGTGTTCAGATGCATTTCCAGATCACTCAGTCCCACTTTACAGCAGCTTCCGAGTCACTTATACCTACAAAAATGAACCAGAATGCCGACATATTTAAGATAGTTCCCATCTTTGGGAAACAAGGTACTTGCCATTTAGTTCATGATCAAAGTCCCAGAGTATGTACATTTTTCAAGTTACCTCCTAGAGAATGTAGACTGGAAAACTGAAATGTTTTTGCAAGAGCAGGGCCCATTTAGTCAGACAGTGCTATGTGTCCAAGGTAATGAAAGACCTATGTCACATCGCAGTGCACACATGCAGGAGGCCAGAATTACAGGTGCCATGGGAGCTCTAACCCTGCGTTTCTAGACACGTGTGGGTTTCACCATCTCCTAGAATCTAACAATCCAGTAGCAGAGTTGTTGGGTCTGGTTATATGGGTATTCATTGATTTTAGGTGTGAAGGAGTCTGAGAATGAACAGTTTTGTACTATTGTTCATGTAGCAGAAATGTGACAACAGTTATTATAAAATTACTCAGCTTTCGAGTTGTTTTTAAGTTAACGCTGTTACCATCTGGGTAAATGCATACAGTTAAATCTAAATTCTTATGCTTAAAGAGTCATTTTGCCTTTAGGCATTCATCACTTAATTCATACTCATTCATTTATTCATTCAACCCCAAACTGAATGATACAGACAGGCACAGTTCTCAAGAGAACTCCATGTACGTGAATAAGAACAAGATGTCTATAGTATTTCTTCCGAACTTCTGGAGAATAAAGCTTTCTCTTCTTTTGGATTTTAAGCTCTGACTATTGGAGATTCCAAAAGCAGCAATACTCCTTGGGTGAATCTTTATTTGTGGCTTTTTACTATAAAGAAATGTAGGAACATTTTTCCCAAGGATAACATCCAGCTTATAATTTCCATCTCCCCTTCACTTTTGGTGAATACTAGTCTGCTGTAAGGACATTTTTGGAAAACCAGGGCTTTGGCCAAGGAAAGGACTTCTTATTCTCCCTTTCTCAGCTGTAGGTCCTCTACATATATTTTAACACAGAGAAAAATACCATAAATCAAGTGCAAAGATAAAAGAGAAACTGAGGAAGAAGCAAATGTCCCAGGATACTAGGTTTCTTACAAGTTAATAAGAAAAAGGTAGAACAGTCAGCAGAACAGTAGGCAAAAATGCTATGATAGGCAATGCTAGAATAAAGAATACAAATGGCCAATAGACATATGAAAAGAATTTCAAGCATGTGCCTAATGATATTCAAATGAAAATCATGAAATTCCAACATTTATCACCTATGAGTGCAGTATGGCAAAGATTAAAACAGCTTAATAATGCCTCATGTTAGAGTAAGCAGAAATGTCACTGCCTTACCTTATGGGTGGGAGTCTAACTTGGTACAGTCATTCTGGAGGACACATCAATCGGAAACATCGATTGAGATCTTAAATATTCGCAGAAATTCGATAACAAGTCCAATTTCTAAAAATTTAGCTTACGGACATGGTCAGTCAGATATGAAAGATGTATGCGCACGATGTTTATTGTACCATCGTAATGGCAAAAAGTGGAAAGAATCTAAACATCCATCAACAGGGGACTTGTTAAATACATTATGGATGATGCTTATAAGAAAATAGCATGCAACTATTCTGTGGAATAAAATCAATTGTCTATACACGCTGATTTAGAAAATTCCCTGGGGTATAGTGTCACATGGAAAAAAGCAAGTTACAAAATGTGTGGTCCCATTTTTGTAAAAAAAAAAATTGAAAATGCACACATATGCATGGTTATGCATTGACAATTTCTAGAAGAATATACAAGAGGCTATTAACAGTGGTTGCCTCTGGGCAGAGAGAAATAGACTTTTATTTTTCACACTATAAACTTAGGTAGTCTTTGATTTTTTTTAATCACTAGTATATATTACTTTTATAAATTTAAAAAAGCAGACATAAAAAATTAAGAGGGACTTTAGAAACAGATTTGTAAAAAATGGGCTGGGCACCAACATTCTAACCCAAATGTGCTGATCTCAGACACTTTTGGGTCCCACTTTGTAATAAATACAGAGAAAAATTGTCCACCCCAGGATCCAGAGACCTGAATTCCAGCCCCAGCTCTGCCATAAATGAGCGATGGGGTCTTAGGCAAGTCACTTCAGTCCTTCAGAATTCATGTAAAATTTCTCATCCTAAATGTGTTCTGGTGTATACAATGAGGGTATAATTTCAAATTTTCCTTTCAGCTTCCATGCTCATAAAACTATGATCGCTGGCAGTCTTTAAAGACATTTCTTATTTGGGGGCACGGATGACTAAGTCTTTCATAGACATTCTATCTGGGCCCATGTGGCTCTTCCCCACAATCTTGGGGCTAAATTCTAGAGTGATCTTTGAGGCCAGCTGAAGCCTGGGGCTCTTAGGAGGTGCTTTGTGACTTTCTGTGAGCTCGTTGTTTTTATTACCAAGTGACACTGGAGCTGCACTAATCCCTTTGCATTAATGCAAACTAAGAATAGGGCCTGATTCTGCTATGGGGTCTTACACTCTTTTCCAAAAGTTGGTCTCGTTTAAAACCCAAAACACATTTGGCCCCAAGCGCCTTTCCCCTGGACTTTTAAAAAATCCTGTTTAATTGAAGGGAAATTGAATTCGTCTGGTTTTGATTCATTTACACTTAACTCTTAAAAAAACGATATTTTGAGGACTATTTGATGTCCAAGAAGAATTTTGAGCCTCTTAATGAGTTTTCTGGAAGGCTTTTTTTTCTTCTTCTTAAAACAGGAAGTGGTGCTATGCTATGGGCAAAAACACAGTCAACCCCAAAAAGGCCCCAATTCAGTTTGAAACTGTATCACCCACTATTTTACATGAACCCCAATGGCCCTAGCTAAGGCCTGTCTTTCCCTACTTCTTACTTAAGAGCAAGAGACTCACTCGCCTTCCATCTGAGGAGGGATAGCATGAGGAGGAAGGAGGAACAATCGGAGTCATCAGAAGGAAAAAAAGCTATTTCTCTAGCTCTTATTTTGTGCCAATATCTGTGTTAACCTTTACAGACATACCCACCTTTGATCCTTGTACCAACCCTATGATGTATGTAACACTTCCGTTTTGGAGAGGTGGAGTCACTTACCCAGGGTCATAAAAGGTAGAAAGTGGAAAAGCAATGATTTGAACCTAATCCTGTTTGCCTCAAAGCTCATAGAGCTTAGCCACAGTGATAGTTTGCCAGATTGACACATACATCCATGCAGTTTAGGCTTCAAGTCGAACCCATCTACCATGTAGGTTTTGTTGTTTGTCGTGTCCATTAGTCTAAGTGACCCCACCCTTAGCCTGCACGGGTCAGATTCGTGGTGTATCTCAATTCTCTACCACCCTTTACTCAAGAAGGCCTAAAGCCCCATATTTTCCCCAGGTAAGAGTCCCTGCCTGACTACACTACACCAGCAGGTGTAGTGGACAGTAGGCAAGCGAGCATGAAACCAACAGGTTCTGTTTTACTTTCATGAGCTAACGAGATGATAAAAAGACAGAGTGTTATAGCTCCATAGAGAATAGCATATTCTTTGCCTTGACAATGCTTCCTCCTTTACCCCCCTTTTCTCTCTTGTTCTAACTCTTGCTTTCCCTCTCATGCTCTTTCACTCATACACACACACACACACACACACAAACCCAGATTGGGGGCTTATACAAAACACAAAGAAGGGAACGTTTTGTAAGGTTAAAAGGAAGCCATCGAGAAAGGCTAGCTGGAGCTCCAGTTTCTCCTGAATAGTCTTTCTTGTTATTTCAAGGCTGATTGACTTATAACTGCATCCACAGCTAGCTCACATCGGTTCCTTTATCAGCCCGAGTGAGACTTCCTGTGGACTGGCCCAGCTTCCTGATTTATTTCCTTTTTCCTTTGGCAGAACAAAGAAAACCAGAGCTCCAAGGATACTTGGGACCAAACATAATTTAGCACCAAAGAAGCTATTATTTAAAATATGTTCAGTCTCAGTGCATAGGGCCGAGAACCTGCCTTTGCAGTTTTCCACGTGCAATTATCAGGGGTCAACGAGCCACTTGAACTCATCCTAGTTGTAGTTGGATTTCATTCAAAGGGGGAAATTGAGCCCATTCTCCTCACTAACACCACATGAGCACCCCCCCAACCCCATACACACAGGCACACCTTCAAGAGTTACATGGAATGCCTCTGTATTGAGGGTTTACTCTTTTGTTAACCTAACTCAACCCCACAGACCAGCAAAGAAACCCTCTTCTTTTGAAATTTCATTCTAGCTGTGTTTAAAGTTCTAACTCTAGAAACCTGCCCATAAGAAAAGAAGCTTTGAGCTCTACCCAAATGGGCATTGACGTCAGTCGAAGAAGAAATTCCAGAAATTGGGATGAAGGCATTGCTTTCCTCTCTTGCCTGTAGGATGCCATATCACTTCTTACCGCTTGGCCTCACCACCTGCTGTGCACGTTATTTCTGACAAACCTTTAGGCATAATCCAGAGAAATAGGGAACATGACTGAGGGAGCTATCTGCACCCCTGTCGTATCGCCTAAAGCAAATATCACAAGCTGTCAACTGATAGCACGCCCCCGTACTCTTAGAAGATAGGAGGCCAGTGCACCGGAGAGATCACTGAGGCTTCAGGATGGGATGTGTCCGAAGATGAGAACTAGGCAAAAGATACTCAGAGCAGAACTCGGGTATTCTTGTGCCCAAACAACACATTTGCAATAAGGGTGTTTCCAGGAGCTAAGTTATCAAGACTTCACGAATTCATGCTTTCTTTGTTCACCTGTCTTATAGCCTTACAAATGTATAATCCTCCTGGGGAACTGAAGATGGCACTTTCCATAGAAAACAGCTAGGCATCTAAGAAATCGTGCAGGCGCCCAAATGTTACTAGTCACCTTTTTGGCTCTTTTTTTTTTTTTTTTTTAACAAAGATCACTGATTTGAAATGGAAATCAAATTGAAACTGAAATGTACCTCCCCAGGCAAGCAAGATACTTCTAAGAGGAGAGGGTTAATTCACCATTGTTAATTCACACTGATTTCTCCCACCCCAGTCCTCAAGGTAATCATCTCTAGATGAAAAGAGATTGAGGGACGCCTGGGTGGCTCAGTCGGTTAAGCGTCTGGCTTCGGCTCACGTCACGATCTTAGGATCCTGGGATCGAGCCCCGCGTCGGGCTCCCTGCTCCGGGGCAGGCCTGCTTCTCCCTCTCCCTCTGCCTCTCTGCCCTGCTTGAGCTCTCTTTCTCATTTCTGTCTCAAATAAATAAATAAATAAATCTTTACCCAGAAAAAAGGGGAGATTGAGAGGGTACTTGAAAGAGGAAAGTAACTCAGAAACTACATGGTGCGAGGGGCATGTGTGAGGCATGATTGGGGTGCTAAGCCTCACATCATCTGCCAAAGGGAAGGGAGTGACTACGCCGCCATGCGTGAGCAGGAGCCCTCTCTTTTCCTGGCATTGTACTCTGTCACGAACTCTGTACCAGGTCCGTGACCAGGGAGGAATCCTAGAACACAGATCCATGACTTACCTCATGCAGCTCCCCCAGCCCTGATAATCCTGTCTGTCGAGAACCTTATATGGACCTTGGAATTCTCCTCCATAAGAGCATATTGGGCCAAAGGGCACAAGTAATCTTGTTCAAATAGGGTCTTTGGTGCAACACAGGACTTCCCCAGAGGTCACAAACTTGAGGGGCACCTGTGCTTTCTGTGCTTTTTCTAGAAAGTGGAGGGAGAAAGAGCAGACTACTTTTCTGGAAATGTCATTTCAGGAAAACTGGCCTGAGAAGAATTTTCCAGGGTGCCTCTCTGAAGGCTGCCAGGCGTGGCTTTGCGGCTCTGGACACTAGGGCCTCTGAGCCCTTCCTTCTGGAGATCGGTGGATCTCCATATCCTTACTGGGTCTGTAGTGTGGTAAAGGAGTGCCATGGTCATAGTCACTGCCTTCTTAGAGTTTCCCACTGGAAAGTCTTACAGACTAGCTGGGATCAGGCAGTGGGGCTGGGTTTGGAGCTTATCAGAATTAGCCAATTCTTCCCAACACTTTGGAATGGATATGACCCAAACTCTTCTCTGCCCAGAGCACCTTTTTTTTCCTCTCCTTGATTTTTAAGCCCTGTGTGCATTTCATGGGAAATTTCACACGCCTGTTTCTGATTCACTTCCAATTAAAGGCTCAAAATGCTGGTTTTGTAAGAGCTCTTTGATGATTCGGATTCATGTTGGTTCATCTTTTTTTTCTTCCCTCCTTAAAGCCCACAGAAGTTTAATAAATTTTGCTCAGAGATTTGCATGCTTAATTGTTAAAAATAATTAGAAACAGGAGAGAATGTTTAACTAGTGTGCCAAAAACATGCGCATTTCCAAGGGGAAAAAGAGAGACTGATGCCTCAGTGAAGGGGAACTCCTGTGGAAAAAGAAGGGGTATGACTGAAGGTGGGCCCATCACTGAAGGAGGGAGGGTTGGCCCTGAGCTCGGGGCTTCTAGAAGGGTCAGGGGAGTGTTACATGAAACACAGGAGTCCTTCCTAATGCAGCCAGTCAGCATTGACAAGCTGTCGGTGGAGTGGTCCATCTCATGGGAGGCACAGCAGGTGGAGTGGCATTTTCCAGATACTATTGTTGCTTTCAACTCCTTTCTGATTGGAAGGGGTTAGTGTTCTTGCAACAGCAAGCCTTGTTCTCCGGCCCTCCCTCATAGGCATTAATAAGCTTTGATGATGAGCTTATCTGTACACCTCTGCACTAAATGCAGAAGTGTCTGATGGAGCGGATCTGTGCTCCCCGGGAAAGGGGCCCCCTAGCCTATCTATGCATCCCTCTGAAATGCCAAAGTGGGCACCAGGGTTGAGTAATTTCAGTTCTGGTCCCGGTTTGGCCTTAGGCTGGCTGGATGACTTTGGGCAAGTTACTCTCCCTTTCTTAACCTCAGCTTCTCCATCCACCCAAAAGGATTAAAACGACTAGCAGTAACCCTCTTCTCCCATGGATTTGGTAAAAATTCTGGAGTGATGAGTTGCTTTGAATTTCTTGAAGAAAGGCATTAATTAATTGCTACAGCTTGACTATTGGGTGGCTCATTACATGGTTGTTCTTGTCAATTGTAAATCATGCAACATTTTCATTTCTGGGGCCTTATTTGAACTTTTTACTAGGGGATCTTCCTTCTCTCTTTATTGTCAGGGGCTGGTTAATAGTATTCAGTCAGCCTGAGTTACAAAATACAACTTTGTGCTCACACAATGTAATGTGGGAATGCTTGTGTGCTGTGTGGTGCTTCTTGCCTAAGATGGGGGACACAAAAATCTTGTGAAGGCTCGCAGTGAGATGCTGGAGGGTCTTATAAACCATTATGACAGTGGCAGAATGGTTCCATGAAAGTCATGTGCCACTTGAAGTGTGAAAATCTAGATTTAAACCACTTATTAGTTGTGATCTTGGGCCAGTTATTAACTTCTCTAATCTTCTCCTTTCCTATCTGTAAAATAGGAATACTAATGATAATAATAATAAGTAATATTAAGTTTTCCAGCTGCCGTACTGGCTAATTGTACGAATTGAAAGAAGTACAGAAGTAAAAGCACTTTGTAATTACAAAGCACTGTGCAAATGTTAGTTACAGTTAGTTACCTTCGCTCTTATTCCCATCCAAGCCAGTGTTTGAACATAACAGATGATAAAGTCTGCTTAAGTTGAATCCATGGGGTTGCTTTTTTCTGCCTTTAATGATTCCCAAGACTTAATTTCATTTGGTTAATTTTGCAAATTAGCTACTTACTCCTATCTCGTTGCTCATAAAGACACCGTCCCCTCTGAATCCATCAGTACAGACCAAATATCACATATTCCTCCTTTCCCTCCCTCGCATCCGGCCATTGTTATACTCGTGAAACTCCCATCCCAATCAATGGAGGTTTTACGTAAAAACTGAATTCAGGATATGAGTGCAGCCTCAGGAATTCCAGGCTTGTGCTGCTGATAAAAAGAGTGTGTCACACTGAAAATACCAGAGAAATAAAATTCTCCTGTCCAACCTATGCTCAGGTTTTTGGGGTTTTTTTTTTGTTTTTGTTTTTGTTTTTAGGTTTGTCTCTGCTTTTAAAGAGTCAAGAGTCCTCCTGGAATATGAAACACATTATCTTTTACAATATTCCCTTGGGAACAGTTTTAAAATGCTCACCCAGCTAGCTAGACCCTCCACTGGCTCTCCTGACTGATTGACCTGTGCCACCTCCTCTCATGTCTCTGGGTCCTACGGTCGTGAGTGAAGGCAGTAAGGGCCAGGCCTGATCTCTGTTCATTCAGAGTGGAGCTAACATTTCAGTCTTGCTTTATGCTCTGCTTTACCATCCCCTTCCAGAAAACAGAGTTTTCCAACCTGGCAGGAACTGGAGAACTTATCTCCCTCAATCAAGGGCTGTGAATTTGTTGGGGTCATGTTGGTTTGTCTTAAGTGGCAGAGCTGCCAATAGGCTTCACTGATTTAAGTGTGAGGGAAGGACCAGCAGAATGAAAGTAATTTGCCTCAACGATGGCCCTCTGTTAATGTTGAAGTCGGGAAGAATCCCCGCTCTTTTCCCACAGGAGATTAGACAAAGCAGACTTGGTCTTTATTCTCATCGTGCATCATCGATATTTTAGGAAAGAATGTATCTCTGCCTTCTCAGGCTATACCATGCAACCAAATAGGATTATGTGACCAGAAGTGAAGAGGAAGAACATTTTTTACCCACACTGAAGTAGTTACACAACGACATAAAAAGGGAAAATGAAGTTGACTGTTCATTTTAAAGTGCTCATCCAGATATTTAGGATTGAGATTCAGAGCTGCTCCTTAAATCTTTTTTCTGAACGTGTTGAATTATATATTAGTTTTATTCCTAGCCAACAGAATTGGGATTTCAGGGTCCATGGGGCTGGACACTGAGTTGCTCAGATAGTGATCTGTAGTTCTTTAGGAACCACAGTTTAGCTAAGATCAGTCTTGCCGTTTCTTTGCCCATGAAAACAAATGACCGCCAAGATCTTGATGTTGTACTCAAGGAGCAGTCTGTGTTTTCTAGACCAAAGCCATACAGTGAAGGTAAAGAGATGAGAGAGCATCTCGAATATGTATTTCAAATTATGAAGAACATCTCACACAATGGAAATAAATGCCACCTTGCATGAAACTCATTTTGTTTAACAGTGGTGTCTATCTCTGTGAGGTTGGGTCACATAATGGTTCTGGACAAACTCAACATGCTGCTGTCTTAATTAACTGCGTCCTATGTCTTGCCTAAACATTTACACATTTGGGAAGAGCTAATGTCTAATCTTTTCCAAGTGACTCTAAATTTCTGGTTTTAAATTCGATTTGGGTAGAAGGGAGCAGTATTTTCTTGGGCTGTGGAAGGTACAAACATCTCTCGAGAGAGTGCTGATGTGTAGGAAGCTTCATGACAGATAACGGTTCTTGCACAGTTTTTAGGATAAAGGATTTGGGAAAAGTCATCAGTAGTTCTCATCTTCCTTAGCCTTATCTCAAAGGCAGAGGAAAGTGGCAGATCTAGAGACCTGTTTTTATTGGACTTGTCCAGTAGGATTCCCTGTAAAGGTAGAATGCCCTGTTTTGCACTGTCCAATATGGCAGCCACTAGCCTCGCATTCAAGTAGCTCCTGAGCACTTCAAAGGTGGCTGGTGCAAAGAGGAACTAAATTTTTAATTTCATTTCGGTTGACTTTTGTTAACCGAAATTTAAATAGCCACATGAGGCTAGTGACTCCTGATCAGACAGTACAAGTCTATATAATTCAGATCAAAAGCATCTTAAAATGTGAATTCAGTCAGAGGATATATTTACCTGGATTATTTTTATTGAGTCAGAGCTATGTTGTTCACATGGAGACTAGTGCTTCCACTAACTCTTCATGACCAACATTGAACCAAATGAAAGTAAATGTCCAGCATTATCCAGGTACTACCCATGTTGGCCTGGAGCCGAAAGTAAGGATATCCTGTAATCTCCTGGCTTCTTCAACAGTCCTATGCTGATCTTTAAGAATATAATGCTTTCTTTTCCTTTCAATAAAGTGGAGGCATTTGGAATTTATCACAGGGATA